TCTGATTCTCTCTGCCGAAGAAGAAAAAGCTCTCAAATGACCTCAATCACAACAGCACACAGAGCAAAACCAAAGCCATTGTGCAGTGTTCTTGTAGAAAGCTTTCAAGATCAATACTTTGGGAAAGTCTCTGCAATGCTCTGCAAACAAGGGACCATCACAATTCTACCAGTGTAGCCAGGTGTTACACGCACAATACTAGCAGAAAGCCTTCCTCACCTCTTGTGTCACCAACCAACTCAGCATTTCACTTCAGTTCCACCAAAAATGCCAGCAACTAGCTCTATCTGTTCAGACCTGCTTTTAACAGTGGTAACTTATTGTCATGTCTTCAATCACTTCTAATCAATGCATTCTGATCTATTGCTTACGGACACGCTGCTTGTGAGCTAGTGCTACTGACTTAGCAATCCATTAATGAACATCAAGTGTCAACTGCCACATGCTAGAAAGCTATCAGTCATTCCAGACAAGCTTTTGGGAAGTTTGTATCACATAGAGCAGGACCGCTCTTCAAAAACACCAAAGTCTTCAAGAATCAAGTCTCTAAAAAGTCATTCTTCTGTGCTGTAATACTCTATTCCATTTCACCTTTTTTTTCTTCCCTTCTCTGAAGTCCACTCTGTAATAAACAGTCACTGAAGATCAAAAGTAAAGCTTTGGTATCCTATGTTTCGTGCTATTTGCTGTGAAAATTATGACTTGGCTTCAGAAGAAGTTTTCATCTTCACAGTATTTCTTTATATTTGTATCAAGTCTTGAAAACTGTTACCTTAATTCTGCAGACTGCTTGGAGAAAAAGTTCTATTCATCTAAATGAGTAATTACCTACAAAATCTAAAAGGACAAACATGCTCAAAATTCTAACTATCCTAGTCACAGCTGTAGCATAAGCTTTCAACTAAAGCAGTTACAGTACTGACTGAATTACCCACATTTAAGACCAGCCCTGGTGCAGATTATATGATCCAGAGAAGTCATCAACTCTGGAAAAAAGTTTGCTTCCTACGATTAATATCAAAGCATCAAGGAATTATCACCCCATGCAAAAACAGCAATATTGAGATTTTAATAGCATCAAAGCGACTTTAGAACAGAAAAAGATAAATCAGGAAAAAAGGTAATCTGAATGATTGCAGCTTACAGCACCAATATATTTAATTCTGAAGCGTAAAGTTACCTGAAGTCAGGTTCAGTAAAAAACGGGGCACGACCCATCACTTGGGTTCTAATTAATCCTCAAGTTCTGCTACAGCTGTAAGCAGAGTTTGCAGTACTCTCAGGAAATAGCAAGTCCTCTTTGACTGCCTCACTGTTGCAATGAAGTGGCACACTATAAACCACCTCAAATCCCTTCTGAGACCAACTGGAACAGATTCTAAGAGTGGAAGTCGGGCAGGTATGGCAGCACTGTAACATCTCTCTGGGACAAAGCTCCACAAAACAGTATTCAGGCTTCTAGAGGGGCTGCAGTTGCATTAACTTATCAAGTCAAAAGCTTGAGTGTCATTTTCAGTGCCTTCGACTGGGAAGACAAACAAAACCATGAAGACTGCAAATAAGTCCCCACAGATTAAAGGATGCCTTAAAGATGGAGGAAAGCACCACGGGGGTGCAGAGCACAATGCTGCTTGAAAGAGCTGTCACAACACAACAAAGCAAACATCTCAGTAACAAAGCAAGGTGTGGGAGGGCAGGTGTGTTGGATCGTGAATTTCAGAAACGCAATCACTATTCTAGAACTGTAAGCTCAAGTTTTTATTAGCAAGTTGGGTCAGTTTAGAACCTGCCCAACCACCAATAAAAGTCAAACTGCGGTGCTCACCCTACCTTGGCTTGTCTTACACAACTGTAAGAAACTCAGAATGAGGGACAAAGACAGTTAAGTAAGAGGTTTAAAAAAACCAAAAGAATCAAAGAGAGTTGGTGATAACCACTGAATTTTCAATAGACTGGAAACAGGAAGGATTAGAACCAGCAAATGGAAGTTACAGATTGGCCAGCAAGCAAAGAGAGGCTTAAGAAAATCTTAGCTGACAGCGCCTGTCTTTCTAGTCAGGGGTTATCAGCTGGCAGAAGAAACACCCCAAAGCTACATTTTCACATGCCAACAACCAGGAAAAACAAAACCAAACAAGAAGCATATCATAAAGGTTACAAGATGACATTAGAGAACCGTGGTCTAGGAACCATATCCATTCAGCACTGTTATCCAACAAAACAAAAGTCAAAGTTGCACATCTTCTCTAAAACTTACTCTGAAACTAGGATTGATGTGGGGATCTCAAGGACCACACTGCACAGCACCAGACTAGGTGGTCTAAAATGTACTTTACCATTTTATTAATTTATTACTAAGAGGGAGATTAAATTTAATTTTTTTACTACACTGGGCAAGGAAAGAAGTATATAGAAGACAATTATCTTCAAATTTGAAGTCACACTTACTCAAGTTGACTCTGCTTTTGAAAAATTCAGCAGCCTGAGCAAATTATTTCCCACTAGACAGTTCACTTTTTCACCTTCTATACTAAAGCAACTGCACTGCTCTTAAAGCTTATTTGCAGTTTCTTTGCCATCGTTCCCTGCCCAGGAAGTTTAGGCTTGGCCAAAGCTCCAATGCTATTGCTGCCACCTACTCAGGTAGGGAATGTTTTAAAACAGTGCTGGACAAGAAAGATCAGAAGCCTCTATCAAATGAGATGAACCACACAGGTATTTCCCTGCTGCGAGTCTCAAGGAACACCAAGAAAGGACCATTATGAAATGCACTGCTGGAGGTTAACGGAGGTTCTCTTTGCCAGCTACCCTTGAGATGTCTGTAATTCTTCTTCCACAGAATACATTCTAAACAACCTGATGATGAAGACCAACTGGATTTTTTCAGAGCTTTGCCTGAATATTAAGTGATTAACCATCACCCCAGACAGCTCCTTATCAAGGAAACTGAGACCCTACTACACTGACAGCATTCTGCTCTGGGTAATCGGCTGCTTAATACAGATGCAAGGAAGGTCTGAAACAGAGACAAAAAACATACGAACTATTTTTTCTTTTCCTTATTGTACCTATTAACACTAATGAAGATCATCACCAACCACTCAGTAGAGGATTCACATTTTCTCAGCAAGTTTTTCAGGCTCAAATAACTTTGAGACTGTAAAGCAGATGCTGCCCTCCAATAAACCATAAGAATTTACAAGCACATTTTTTTCCTTCAAGAACGCATGAGGTTACACCTAGAGACATGTTGTGCTGTAGGTGTTCTCTGTTCAAACAGAATCACAGAACTGCAGAGGTCAGGAGGAACTTCAGCCACATCTGGAGTACTGCATCCAATTCTGGGCTCCCCAGTTCAAGACAGACAGGAATTCCTACAGAGTCCAGCAGATCCCCACAGAGGTGATCAGCAGTCTGGAGTATCTCTCTTGTGAGGAAAGGCTGAGAGACCTGGGGCTGTCCAGTCTGAAGAACAGAAAACTGAGAGGGTATCTTATCAAGGCTTATAGGTATCTAATGGGCAAGAGTCAACTGGATGAGGTTAGGCTCTTCTCAGCCAGAACCACTCTAACGTGAGGCTAACAGCACTGGCACAGGCTGCCCAGGGAGGTGGTAAAGTCTCCTTCTCTGAAGATAATCAAAACCCAACCGTGCACTCATGAGAACTACTGGTTTACAGGATCAGAAATCACATGACATGAAAATTTTAAATTTTCATTTAAAATTTCATCAATTCATTCTGAAATTTATGATCATTAGATCCAGTGTGTTTCAATATAAAACTAAGGTGACTTTCTTTGTCACAGATGTAATCCAGCTCCTTTAACTGGAACATACACTTGTTTTACATGCTGAGATATTCAGAAAAAGGGAAAAAATTGATGAGAAACTGACAAAACTGATGAAACATATCAAGTATAATTATGGATTGCAGAATTTATGTATATTGGAAAATCCTCCTCCTACAGAAATACATCCTTCGCAGCTATTTGTAAACAGATCATACACACTGTTTTAAATTATGTTACATTAATTGTTCCAGGCAAACTTTAAATATCCAATTATTATCAAGTTTAGGATTTGGGTGGTCAGCATCTTCTGAAAGCCACTCAGCAATCTTCATGAGTTCATTGAGTTTTTAATGCTAAAAGTCTGACAAATGTCCATTTTGCTTCCCACACTCCCAATTCTACCCTCATCCCCTAATTTCCACACACTTGCTGTCCTATTTTCTTATTTGGTCCCTAATAAAAGCACACTGCTTAGGCAGCTAAACTACAAGTTATGTATCATCGTCTATTTCAAGTACTGCTTTCCTGCCCTCCTTCTATGCCATGCTTACATAAGTGAACTCAGATTCAGAAACAGCTCTGCCCTGAGTACTCTAATTCTGTTTAGCTAGTCAGAGTAGGTGCAGACAGCAGTCATTTCCTGAGCAAGAAAAGCCTGAAGGACATCTACTTTGGTAGAAATGAGGTAAACTACAGCACCCCCCTAAAATGCATAATCATGTACAAAAATAACACAGAGCAATATTGTTAACAGTATTCATAATAGTATAGGTGAAGTATTATACTCTGCTTTAGTTACAAAAATCAGACTAACAGTTACTAAACTGATACAAGACAATTATTTTTCAGATACACTGTGACAACCTCCCTCCCCTTCTTTGTGTTCTTCCCCCCCCCACAAATACTTAAAGCATATGATGAATATAAATTCACTAAAGTATAAATCATATACCATGACTAAGCAAGGAAAATGTGAGAAATAGTTACATTTTTAAACTTAATCTATTTTAGCTAAGTATTACCACAAATAGTGCTAAATTCCACCCCAGGCTCCTGACTTAATCTTCTCTGGATTGCAATGTATAAGCCCTCCTTTGTTGGCTGCACTATTTCAACCCCTGCTGGTGTGTCAAAAACTGTGAACATTAGGCAAAATACAAATATGCTGCACTGCATCAGACTATTCTCCTCTTTTGTCTTTTCCAGAACATGAGAACAGATACGATAGAGAGCAATAACACCAAATCCAGCGCTCCCCTCCTAACCCAAAGATACCTGAGAATGGTCACAAAGGATGGACACAGCACGCTCCAGATGGATGGTGCACAAGGACAAGGTCTGGCATACCTCCGAGATGCGTGGGGAATACTAATGGACATGCGCTGGAGATGGATGATGCTTGTATTTTCTGCTTCTTTTGTCATTCACTGGCTAGTTTTTGCAGTGCTTTGGTATGTGCTGGCTGAGATGAACGGGGACCTGGAGCTGGACCACGATTCTCCACCTGACAACCACACTATTTGCGTCAAGTACATCACCAGTTTTACAGCTGCATTCTCCTTCTCCCTGGAGACACAACTCACCATTGGTTATGGTACTATGTTCCCAAGTGGGGACTGCCCCAGTGCTATCGCCCTGCTTGCCATACAGATGGTCCTAGGGCTCATGCTGGAAGCCTTCATCACAGGTAATCTCTCACATTTACACCTGATATGATATAAATCTTGAGATACAACAAGTCAGCAATAAGTACGGACCATACTAATATCTGAGAGAAAGATAAGTTCAGTTACTAAAGGGATGACAAGATCTCAGCTATGTGATAATAAATTAATATGAGGCAGTATGAAATCTGTACCAGAAAGTACCACTATTCATTGGTTGATACTTGTGGTAGTACCCCACTTGCCACTCCCAATCACTTATTTACTGTACCATGATCTATTTCTCAATGGAAATAATCTTTTCAGTGGGATTAATATATGTAAAGCCAATTTAACAGTCGTACATTTGTCTAGGTGGAGATTTTTATTCATCTTTAAGTCAGTATTTATGTATTCCTCAGTACTTCACATAATAGAAATTTCTAGGATGTTGCAGCTATTCAGATATTTTAAGTTTCTTAAAGTGCTTCTCAGGTTTAAGGTATGTCAACAGACTTTAAATGTTGTATTTATTGTATAAGCTGCAATAAATGTCTCAAGCAGTAGCTTATCAAGATTACACACTATTGCTAACTGCAGTATATGGGTGCACTAAGTGGGCAGCTTTGCAGTTTTCAGAAGGACCTTGTACACTGAAGGCAGTTTCTATTGCTTTGGACTGCTTTACGTAGCTCAGAGATTGCAGGGGACACAGCCCAGGCCCCATCCTCACTTTCATCACCTTCTTTCCATGGCACAGGTGCTTTTGTGGCAAAGATCGCACGACCAAAGAACCGCGCCTTCTCCATCCGCTTCACTCGCTGTGCCACAGTGACACACACAGAGGGGAAGCCGTACCTGATGTTTCAGGTGGCTAACACACGCTCCAGCCCACTCACCAGCGTCCACATTTCTGCTATTCTCTACCAAGAACAGGAGAACGGTCAGCTGCACCAGACCAGTATTGACTTCCACCTAGACAGCATTACTTCGGACGAGTGCCCTTTTTTCACCTTCCCTCTGACCTACTACCACTCCATCACCCCATCCAGCCCACTGGCTGCTCTCCTCCAAAGAGAGGCTGCTCGCCACTTTGAGCTGGTCGTCTTTCTGTCAGCGGTGCAGGAAGGGACAGGAGAAATGTGTCAGAGGAGGACGTCCTATCTCCCCTCAGAGATCATGCTGTACCATCGTTTCGCCCCTGTGCTTGCCCGCAGTGCCAAAGGTGAATATCAGATCAAGATGGAGAATTTTGACAAGACAGTTCCTGAGCTCCCAGCTGCAGCTGATTCAATGAATCCAATGAGGACTGCCAAGGAGATCCGCATCAATGGACAGCATGTCGACAGCTTCCAGCTCTCTGAGACTGGCCTCACAGAATAGGCGGGACAGATTTTGGACTTTGTGTCTTTTTTAATTATTATTACACTAAACTCTGAGGTCACATCGACAACCTTCCTTCCTTGCCTGCAATCTTCTAATAATTTCTCCTGTTTTCCTCCTTCTGATTACAACACAATATGCAAAGCAAAGCAAACTGGCGTGCCCATGTAAGCTTGGCTGAGAGGCTGGATCGACCACCTAGGACAAAGGCAGGTACAAGATTCACAGTACTGCTTCTGGGAAACTAGAAGAACTACCAGCTGAAGTCACTGATTAAAGTTGTGTGACTCGGAAAGGAGAGACTTCCAAAGCTGACCAAAATCCTAACTAACCAGCTTGTGACAAAACTGGACAGCAAAAATACAAGAGAAAAATCTCACACAAAACCAATATGCAGTCATTCAGTCAATACATCAACCCTTGGACAAGCAATTCAGTTGATTCAAGACCCTGATTTTTCAGTTATTTTCACTCTCTGCGAGATACTTGGTTATGTCTGATTTCAGAGGGATGAACTTACTCTTAGGAAGTATTGCCAACCTCTCACAGCAGTGAGAAGTACCCCTGCTGTGCTTGCTTATTAAGGAGAACTGTAAATACTATCTGTAGTTTTTTGTTCCATCAGATATGAGGAGAACTCATCTCCTCATCGGTCTATGAAGACATTATCAAGAAATCTTGATGTATATGGCAAATACTGACTGGAAATTTTTTCACATTTGGAAACACCAAATAAATTATTTAGCAGTGGAAACCAGACCATCCTAAATGAACGCATGTGCTTTTTTACAAGGACAACATGTTCCATGCGGCCTCAGCTGTGTGTGCTTCTCAAGTAGGTCTGACCCTGGAGGATGCACTGCGTCCAAATGAGGAGCAGAACTGCATCCATTTGTATTTTATGCTTTTTAACATCAATATTTGCCTTTACATACAGCACAAAAGTATTTACAGAGACACCTGAATCAATTTTAAAATAAAACATTAAGTTACACGGGACCTTTGTATTTAAGTGCCTCATAAGTCTATTGCAATTAAGACTTAAATCTAAAGCTCCTAAATAATTTAAAAAGCTAGAGAATAAATAGACCAATGGATAATTATTTACAAGCTTTTAACAAAAGCAATTCTATTACATGTTCATACTTGAAAAGTCAAGTACCAAAAGGAGTTAATTTCTCAAAAGTAAGAGACTTTTCCCACAAACAAATATGGTCTTTCATTTACAGAAGCATAATACTCTACAAAATATGCTTCCTTTTATCTTCAGCAGTCAGCAGCAGGAATAAAGGGATGAGATGCCATTAACAGAACTCTTTTTTGAGCCTCAAAATCAAACTGTGTTCACAACCAGAAAGAGCTGAGCCATTTAGCTTGTTTCCAACTTGTTTAGGCACTGTCTGTCTCCATTACAGATCCTAACTGGGTTCGGTTTTGCTATAGACTTTCTCAAAATCTTTCCTGGAATTTAGCTTTATGTAAAAGCACTAATGCATACTGTGGAGCTTGCAGAGCAACACGCTATCAAATTACACGGCCTTCACTCTGTTTTTCTCAGTTGTTGACCCATGCACAGTTTAGAGACCCCTCCTTAATCTTCCTATCAGTACCAGTAATTTGCTATTATGTCCTTCTACAATGTTATCTGACACCTTCTCACCCAATGTAATGAAGTGAGGAAAGTCAGGCAAACTAAGAACCAGTGCAAGAGCAACAGAATGGATTTGCGTCAAGTCAGAAACAACCAAGAGCAGCACTGTACGAGGTACTGCGTTTTCTCTCTCTTCCATACTCCAATCTCAGACAAATTACTGTAAGATTCCTATGTATAATTTCAACAGGGTGGCACTATGATCACGTTTTAGAGCCCAAGCTATAAAAAGCTATTTTTGTTTTCAATTAACATCTAACCAACGTGTTGGTTGCTTAGTCCAATTTCTAAATTGACTTGAGACTTGAAAGCTGTCCCTTTCTTCAAATCATTTCCTATTCACAGATGTGGTAGAGCAGCAAGTATAAAGAAAGAATACTTTCAGCATACCCTAGATGCTGCCTTCAAATGCTACATTTCTGAATACACAGCTGAAGAGCACTGCTGAAGCCAATGAGACATACGAACAACTGTGTAGTTATCCATCTTGGAACAGTGCAGAACAAGAGGTAGGCAGAACATGCAGATTACTTTCACTGCTCTGCAGAACTGGTGAACCATGGAGTCTCAGGAAGCACTGGCAACAGGCCATGGTGCAAATCAGAAGCCCAGAAAAAACTGCTCATAAGCAAGGGTGCAAAGCTGCATTCTAAGCTTTCAGTAATGCTGCAAGAACAAATCTGTGATGAACCTTCTTTGGATATACCCACCTATAGTAGTGGGCTAGGGAAGAAAAACAAGCCAGAAAAAATGAAAAAAATCAGCACCCTTGTTATATTCACAGGAGCAGCCTTTTTACATTCAAGTCTTCTTAACTTAATCAATAAACATGCAACTAAATCAGGTTCACAACTGACTTTCTGAATGTCTTGTTTAACCTACAATTATTTCTTACCAACGTGTAACTGCTGGTAACTACTCAAATCTCCGAGGCTACTAAGCTGGCATCAGTCAAGCAGCTGCACAGAAAATTAAGCAGCTTTCGTGCAACTCCAAGACAGCTGTGATCTAGAAAACAACTCGCTCATTTTCTTTGCTAATGGCCTCAGCCTTCCAGAAGCAATTTGCTGTCTCAATAAAGTCCGTCAAAACTTCGACAGTTCGCAAGAGAAACTCACAGTTACTTTGTGCATCTTAATTTGCAAACTGAAACAGCCTACACTGAGCATCAGCTAAAGGAGAACTTGCAAACTTATGAGTGCAAAACCCCTTTGAAGAACTGTACATTCTTCAATATTTGAGCAGCATTTCTCTCCTGAATTCCCCCCTTTTTATCTCATGATTTTTAACTGAAAGGTTCTTGCTTTGTCACTCATGATGAATGCTCAGAAAAGCTTCCTCTCATCCTTTATCGATTTTGTAACGTGATCACCCTGAACAAACAAAACAAAAAAGTTGACAACTCAGTAAACTACATAACTGGAGGCTGATTTAAGGCCCTGCCCAGAAGCAATGGAAAACTGAAGCACTGTAAAATTAAAGAATAAAATCCTAAACTTGAAATTTTAAGCAGAACAACAGAAACCAACAGATATATCTGCCAGAGCTCATTAGCCTGCATTACAAGCTGCACGTCAATTCACTCCGTGCTCCTGCTTTCACTACTACACGAATGATAGCCTAGTGCCTGGTGTTAACAAGGGACATCTTTTGGTACATGTATCCTTACTTGATGCTTTAAGCATCTTATCATTTAAAAGCACATACATAATATTAACTGCTTGTTTATTAATCAAGGCTTGAATCAAAACACATCAGTGCCTTCTGCGCATTCCATCTTACCTCTGTGAAGGTGGAAAGAAAAGAAATGGTCTTCCCACTTACAGGGCCACTAATCTCAAACAGAGCAATAACAAACAAATGGCTAATTATTTTATATGAAGACATCACAAAGATTCTACATCTCTTGTCTCTATTATATTGTGTTATGAAGGTTTTGGTCAAATAAGATGAACCTAAAAAAGTAATACAGTAAGAGACTTAGAGGAGGAGCAACCAGGTATAATGTGAAGTTTATAACTGCAAATAAAGCACCTCATCCTCTACAATGAGCCAGGACTTTAAGAAAGCACAAGGGGATACCATCTTTCCAGAAAACCATTCCCAGCAGATGCACTCTGAAGTCCTGCTGACTGACACTTATTACCAACAAGACACACTGCGGTAGGTGCAGCATTAACACTGTTCAGGTCCAAGCCAGCTTCTGTAAGAACATCTTGCACAAATTAAGTTCTCAAGTTCTATGCATCTCATCCAAAAGTGACTGGCAATGTTCTCATCAACCTTAATCAGAAACGTGGCACAACATTCAGTTGGTTCTTGTAGTGCTTTGTTTCCTCAGAGGAACAGAAGGGCTAAATAAATAACCAGTGATGGTAGACACTGCTCTTGCTGTTGCCACATTCATTTGTCTTTTGTTAAAAGAAAAAAAAAAAACCAAACCACCACAGTCCTGAAACTCCAACAGCATCTTTTCCCATTCCCCAAAGGTCTCTGACTATAAGCACACACTCCAGACAAACTTTCACTACTGGAGATAAAAAGAGGGACAATCTCAGAAATCCCAAGTTCTTTTCAGGAGTAATCTCTTCCAATGAGAAGAGAGAGGAAAACCAGCACTGTCCCAGTTAATCGTTTTTCATCTTAAAACAAAAAAAATGAATAGCATTCTTTAAAATATATGAAAAAGAATCAATACATACATGGAGAGAGAATTCAGAGGGCTTTGAAAGAAAACATGGTAGTAAGATTCCTAAAAGCATGGGCCACCATGGTAATTTGGATTACTGAGACAGAAACTCATATTACTCTTTCAAAAAAATAAATAAAACTGCTGACTGTCATTCAGGCATTAAAACACACTCCTATCAACTTCCAATTGCAATTGAATCTCCTCTGGGAGTTTTGTTGGTCCTGAAACCCAACCTGCAGCCATATTTTCTGACCTATGCTTTTCCAACACATTCACTATGGAGGCTATTCAGCCAACACTCCTTCAAAGTCTACTGAATAGTCTAGTACAGTTTGCTGGCAGTCCTGCCAAGACTCCCACTAAACAGCTGCAGTACATGCATGTGGAAACATGCCACAGAGAAAGGATGAGGTCACATCAGGGAGCAACCAGTGCCCAATCCCATGAAACAGCAGTTACAGTACAGCCAGCTGACAGAGGAGAACCTTCCTTCTCACCACTCACACAGTGCAGATGCTACCTAAATGGAAACGTTCCACTTCCCAGACAACAGCACACACCAACCCAAATTCAGGTGAGTAATCAAAGAGACTGGGTCAAAATTAATCATTTTTCCTGAACGTGGCCAACGCGAACATTTCAGGAATGCAACAGGAA